TAACCATTAAACTGCTAACTATACAGCTACTACTATTTGTACAAAACAAATAAATTAAAAATTACATGCAAGAATAATACTATTATGTTACTTATATTGACAAACCTCCTATTATTTTACTGTTATTCTGCTATTATGCTGCTATTATGCTGCTATTATTTGGCAGATATAGAGTAGAATAATGGCAAATTTTTTTTCTGTTATTTACCTATTATTTACCTTTTATTTATTTGTTCAACCTGTGCTTGGTACTTTTTAATACTCTATAGATATAAGTTGGATCCAAGTTGATAATTTTACAACTACTTATTTATTTTAAACACAAATTAAACTTTGGCCAAGCTCTTTTAAAACTAAAATTTTTGTTATTTTTTTAGCAATCATTACTATTCCTAGAAACTGTTCTGTTTATATCTTTACTGACTCATAATCTGTAATCTCTAAATATTACAGTATTTACTTATTAGTTTCTAAACTCTTTCATACTTATACTTTATACTTCTTTATTTGACAAACTCTTATTAACTTCATTAATTTATACAATATTTAGTTTATTTTTTATAAAATTACTGCATACCAAGATGATTTATTTAATAATTTTGCTGACCAGCTTGCTCATAGTCATTAAATACTACTCTTTTTAATATTTTTAAATAACAACTCTTACAACTCTGCATATACTCTATTTATTAACTAATTTCTTATTAGGATTTCTATCCAACATTCTATTTATACTATCTGTCAAGCTTATATTATAACATTTTAAACATTCTAATATTATTTTTAATAATGATCTATCATTACATTCAATATTAACTAGAAAGCCACTTAGTTTTATATTAATAATAATCAAAAAGTTTCTAACTTTGTTTATAAATTTTATTTCTTTATTTTAAAAATCATTTGTATTAAAATTCTCTTAGATAAATTATATGTTCCTTATATTTTTTACAAATGCAACTCTTCTTACTCTTCTTTCTGCCATCAATGCATTAAACTAGTTCTTCATTATACTAGACTTTTTGTTCTTCTACTTAAACAATTTATCACTTAATCTCTAATTTTCTTAACTGCATCTTAAATATTACTGCTTTTAATATGTCTACTAATTCTGTTTCTAATTTATATTAAGAAATTCTTATATTTAATAGTTTTAAACTATACAATTTTTCTTATATATCATCTCTTATTTTTATTTTATCTGACTTAGTTCTTATTAATCTTATTTCTACTATTTACAATACTTCCATTCTTTACTATACAGTTATCTTTCTTTCTATTAAATTTTTTTCATTTAAACTAACAAATATATAAACAAATATGGATCTCATATTATATTTTATATTCAATACAGTTTTTAATTACATTTTCTACAAACTCAACTCATAATTCTCTTTCTAGTCTACCATTACCTCCTATCTCAATATTACAAATTATTACTAAAATTGATCTTTTAACTATTCAATAGATTAAATATTATACTCTTTTCTTATATATTATTACTAATACTCAAATCTAGATAAGCCTTGACCACTCTTATAGGTTTAGGTCACAAATTATATGTTTGAGTCTTTATTCTTTATATGTAATTTAAAAGCAAACTTTTCTTTGTAAAAACTTCAATTGAATTTCAATAAAGTTAAAAGCATGGTCTTATCATTAATATTTAAAAAAATAAAAAAAAATAAAAAAATTTTATTTCTGTTATATTTAAAGATTACTTGCTCTATAATATCAAAAAAATAAACTTAAAAAGATATAAGTAAATTTAAAGCAAACAAAAATTAAAATAAAGGTAAAAATTTAATATACAGTACAATCAAACTTCTTTATAATCACATTTTTAATTTTAAAAATTTGATTTTTATAAAAAGTTTGTGCTTATATGAAGGTTAAATTTTATAAGTATTATATAAATTAATTTTAAAAATTTATATGATTATAAGCAAATATAACTATAGAGAAGGTGACTATAAAGAGACCTAACTATAATTACATAATATTATTTTATTATTTAATTTTTAAATAAAGAATTTTTATTAACTAATTATATTAAACAAGATTTTAATTCTTATTTTGATAACCTAACTAGAATATAAAAACCAATTAAATAATTTATATAATCTAATTGCTTATTAGTCTTCATATTTTAATAAAAAGAAATAATTTTTTAAAAAAACATCTAAACAATGCTTCTATATACTTTGTGTCTTCTATAACAAAATCAAATATATAAAGCGTTATGTTAGGACTAAGTTAGAATTAAGGTTAGTGTTAAGGTTAACATATAGTAAAATTGCGAGAAAAATATTTTTGTTTAGTTACATAACAAAGTTAAAATTAGAATATAGTAAAATTATGATAAGAATATTTTTGCTTGTTATACAATGGAAGTTATCCTAGTAAAATTTCGAGTTATCATAAAAAGAACACAAAGTGCACGGGCACTGACTAATCCTGTTCTTTTTAAAATTTCAAAAATTTTTTGACAAAATTAAAAATATAGATCATAATTGTTACAAAGGAACCAAATTAACAAAAAATAAATATTGCGAAAATTTGTTTTTATATTACAAAATCTATATTAACTCATAAGGGAATATAAATTTCAAAAGATTATACTGTAAATTTTATTAATATAACAGTATTTCTTCCTTAAGTAAAAAATGTTCCGGAGTTAATTCTGGATTAGTTAGGCTTAAAAAATTTGTTTTGAAAAAATGGTCAATTTGGTCCCTTTTCCAGCTCCTAAATAGTGCATCGAAAACCTCAACCGACGTCCCCAGGTAATCGGCACGCAGAGTTAAAAAAATTACGCACAAAATTTTGATGATAATTGGTTAAGTCATAAAGTTTTATTATTAGCATATTTTTTTACTTCTATTATATTAAAATAAAATCTATTATGTCACATAAATTATAAGAAAAATATTTTAAGTATATCCTACTCTTAAAGATTCCTACCATTAATTATTATTAAACTCAAATTTTCTAAAATGAATTTATCTACATGTGTTTTATAAACTAAAAAGAAAAATTATCATGCGCTTTGGATCCTAGTGCTCCATATTGAAAATGCTCGCATATTCGCATATTCTAAGGAATATCTCACCAAGCAGAATGCCTCAGATATGCATGCATTATGGGTACTATATTCCGTGCTGTACAGTATGATAATCATGCAAATACACGTATTAGCAATAATTTGTATTAATTAAAATTTTTGTTATGCTATCGCTATATATTCTTTCTATATTATTAATTTGATTCTCCCAAGTGTTGTTCTTGCACCATCATATTATATGTTCCTTTTAGGTTTAATAATTCTTGATGCGTTCCTTGTTCATGAACTTTTCCATCTTTTATGACAAATATAACATCAGCATGTTGAATTGTTGATAATCTATGTGC